GAGGGTCCTTGAGTTGCTTAGGATTTTGAGGATCACGAGACGAAATGCGAATAAAATATGATATGCATGGATGGCTATGTATAACATTCCAAATTAAAAATTTGGGATGTTACAACTTCGACTCCGTACAACGCTTTGAAGGGAGAGCAACCCAGTGAGGAATGCAAGGAGGAATTGTACCAGAATTCAGCAGCGGGAAGCCAACGGCGCCATTGCTTGGGAGTGTCGTGCACGACACAACGCAAGTACATCTCCATGCACTGATTGACACGCTCACTCTGGCCATCCGTCTGGGGGTGGTACGCTATGGAGTAGAGGAGCTTGGTGCCTGCGCCGGCAAGTAGTTCGCGCCATAGCGCACTGGTGAAGATCTTGTCGCAGTCGCTGACGATGGACTTGGGAATGCCGTGGAGCTTGAAAACGTTGTCCCAGAACACGCCCGCCACCCGTGTTGCTGTGAACGGGTGCCGCAAGGGCACGAAGTGAGCGAACTTGGTGAAACGGTCAACCGCCACCATGATTGTATCGTAGCTTTCTGACTTTGGCAGTCCCTCGACAAAATCCATGGTCAGCTCCTGCCAGGGTGCGGAGGGGATCAGTAGAGGTGCCAGTTTGCCCGCAGGCTTGCGAAGTTCATGCTTGGCTTGCTGGCAAACCTGACACTGGCGCACGAACTCGTCGACATCTTGTTTCAGTCCTTTCCACTCAAACACCTTCTTGACTCGGTGGTAGGTGGTCGTTGCTCCGGAGTGGCCTCCTACGACGCTGTCATGCATCGCGCTGGTGAGCTTTGTGCGCAGAGCAGTGTTTGCGCTGATCCACAGTCGGCCCTGACGCTGAATGAGGCCCCGGTACAGCTCGTACTCGTCATCATCTGGGCTGTGCAGCACAAGCTATTGCAGTCGTTCTTGCGTGTCTGGATCAGTGGCGTATGAATTGGCCACTTCCTGGATCCACGCGGGCTGACACAGAGACAGGGCGTTGGCGCTAAAGTGGCTGCCCACGCGGGAGAGCGCGTCTGGAGCTCCATTGTCGATACCGCGCTTATACTGAAACTTGAACTGCAGTCCAACCAACTTTGACATGGCGCGGCACTGGACGGCAGTCACCAGCTGCTGATCGCCGAGAGAGCACAAACTTTTGTGATCTGTGAGGATTGTGAACGGCCCGCGCTGAAGATAAGCACGCCACATGTCCACCACCATCATAACTTCCAGGAACTCCTTCTCATATGTTGACAATTTCTGGTTCTTCGCTCCCAACGCTTTGCTGTAGTAAGTGATGGGGTGGCCTTCTTGTACCAGCACTGCTCCAATGCCCGTGTCGCAAGTGTCCTTCTCAATCACGAAGGGCTTGTCGAAGTCTGGGAGGGCGAGCACTAGCGTGGTCACCATCGCGTGCTTGAGTGTGTCGAAGGCGTGTTGCGCGGTCTCTGGCCACTCGAAACCCTTCTTGGTGAGCTGCAGTGTGAGGGGCTTTGCAATGATCCCGTAGTGGGGCAAAAACTTGCGATAGTAGCCAGTGAGCCCCAAGAATGCGCGCAACCCTGTTGCATTTGTTGGTGTAGGCCACTGAGCCATGGCTTCTGTCTTCTCTGCATCTGTTGCGACACCTTCCTTGGAGATGACGTGGCCGAGGTAATCGATGTGGTCTTGGGCGAAGGAACACTTCGACATCTTGGCATAGATCTGGTGCTTGCGGAGTAGGCTCAGGACGAGCCGGAGATGCTCCAGGTGCTCTTCCCACGTCTCACTGAAAACCAAAATGTCGTCAAGAAAAATTATGACAAACTTATGGGTATACTTGGCGAAGGTCGCGTTCATCAGGCATTGAAATGTTGCAGGCGCATTTGTTAGGCCGAATGCCATCACGCAGAACTGAAAATGCCCGTGGTGGGTTTTGAATGCAGTCTTGTGTTCGTCCTCTTCCCGCATTCGGATTTGGTGATACCCTGCCCGCAGATCGAGCTTGGAGAAGAAGGCAGCGCCGGCTAGCTCGTCGAGGAGCTCATCCACGATCGGCAACGGAAACTTGTTCTTCAGTGCGATGTCGCTCAGGCGCATGTAGTCGACACAGAACCACCATGTCCCATCCTTTTTCTTCACTAACAGCACCGGAGCAGCGTACGGACTGACAGAGTGTGTGATCACGCCGGCATCGAGCATTTCCTTCACTTGGCGCTCTATTTCGTCTTTCTGAAGTGGCGAGTAATGGTAGGGGCGAGTGTTTGTAGGCTGAGCTCCTTCTTCCAGTGTGATTGCATGATCGTACTGCCTATGAGGGGGCAGACCAGTAGGCGTGGTGAAGACATCAGCAAACTCCTCCAATAAGTCGCTGATCAGCGTCTGCGAAGGAATGCGTGACTTGGGTCTGGGGGGTTGCATTTCCACCATGGCCATAGCCCAGATGTCATTGCCTGCGATCAGCTTGCAGAGCTCGGCCGGCTGAACGGCCGCGAGCGTTGGTGTTGTCTTGGGTCGAACACCTTGCAGGGTGACCAACTCGCCATCGCGGAGGAAGGAGATGAACTTCTCTTGCCAATGACATGTCATTGGGCTGTTTTTCTCCAGCCAATCCATGCATAGAATGCCATCGTAGGCGCTGGTGTCGAGCTCGTACATCGGCATTGAGAATGTATGGCCCTGCATCCACGACTTGAGCTCTGGTACTTGGCGCGAGCAGGTGAGGCGATCGCTGTTCGCCACACGCACATCCAGGGTAGCGATCTCCTGGGTCTCGGCGCCGACACGTTCGACGAAGGATTTGTTGACGAAGTTGTGCGTGCTTCCGGAGTCCAGCAGCAACAGCATCACCTGGTTGCCCACCAGGGCGCGGAGACGAATGGTGCTTGGCACTTCCGAGCCGTCCAGCGCGTGCACAGAGATGGTGCAACACTCTGGAGGGGGAACGGCGTGCTCGGGAGCATCGGGCAAGTCGAGAGCGTGCACGGCGTCATCAATGAGCACCTTGCCAAACGCGCCGACCTGGATCGTGAGCAGCTGCGCTTGCGGATTGCAGCGGTGCTCACGGCTGTACCGATCGCCGCACTTGAAGCAGAGACCGTTGGCGCGGCGAAATTCTTTGAGTTGGCGCTCGCGTGCGTAGTCGTCGGGCTGTTGGCGCGGCGCGGCGCCCGGGCGTGCTGGTGGCGCTGGAGGTGGGCGGCCTTGGGGTTGTGGTCGCGGCCGCGCTCGTGGCATGTTCAGCTCCTCTTCTTGGATGCGAGCAAGGATGGACGCACGCGTGATGCTGGTGGGGGCTTGAAGACGCACCGCGGCGCGCAGTTCGTCCTTGAGGCCCAACAAGAACTATGTGATGAAGAACTTTGGGGACAGCGACGGGTCGAGCGCCAGGAGGTGGTACGTGTGGCTGTCGAACACCTGGCGGTACTCGCCGACGGTGCCGCTCTGCCGGAGTTGGAGAAGCTTGTGCATCTCCAGCTCGAACTCGTCAATGCCGAATTCCTCGATGATCGCTGCGCGGAACGCCTCCCAGCCCAGGCCACTGTGTGTTTGACGAAATGCCTGCAGCCAGTGAGCGGCCCGGCCCTCGATGTACAGCGTCGCCGTGGTCACCCAGCTCGACGGCGGTACGCGGTAGAGGTCGAAGTAGGCGCGGCAGCGATCCAGCCAGAGGTACGGCGCCGTGCCATCGAAGCGCGGAAAATCGTGCTTGGGCGGCTTGATGTAGGTGTCGTGGTGTTGGTAGAGATGCGGCTCGCTCTGCTGTTGGTGCGGCGCCTGAAGCAGAGGCGGGCGCTGATCGGAGAGGCGTGGGGACGGTGGCGGTCCCTGCTGTTGCTGGTGGACCGGTGGAGGGCGTAGAGGCGGCGGCGGGGTGGAGGTGGGGACGGGTTGAGGACGATGCCCGGTCCCGATCCGCGCGGCGACGACGATCTCTCGAGCGCCTTGCGCGTCTCGTCGATGTCGGCCTGGGTGAGATCCACTTGCTTGGACAGCGCCCGCAGATCTTGTGCGACCTACGCGTTGAAGGCGGCCTGAACCTCGAGTCGCTTCTCGCTGTCGGCCTTCTGCTCATCGAGACATGAGAGGACGGTCTCCACGAGTGCCTTGAGCATGCTGGTGTTGTCGTCCATGGTGGACAGCAGCTGTCGCGTCTGAACCGAGGGTTTGGACGGCGCCGTTGTTCCGCTCCGAGCCGATCTAACCCTGCCGGGGATTTTGGGCGATTTGCCGGAGCAACTCGCACCCGCGACGGTGGGTGTTACGGATCAACGCCAAGAGATTGTGGAAGCAGCAAAGAAAAATTTCAGCAGGATTCGGTGGCTCTGATAACCAAATGTCACGCCCCGATCTAGATCAGGGAGGACCAGCGACGGTAGGTGAGGGAAAGGGGGATGAGGTTGGCTTGAGAGAGGGGGTGAGCGAGAGAGAGAGACAGAGAGGTGGGAGAGAATTTCAGTTTTACTAAAATAACAACCTGTTTGCTACAATGCTCTCGCGGGGTTAAGTACCCCACGTCCCCTCTGACTCACTCCGGCCACACACACTTACAGCTGTCACACGCACGCACTCATGCTTGGCACAGCCAACTGGCAGTCACGCGGTGGTGCCTTGCACTGCCGCGGTGACAGATTGTTGTAGATCTTTATGTCAGATTTGGCCTAATGTAGCGCCGGATTTTGTAAGCTCCGACCTGGCCTCTGATGGAGGCATTTTTGAGCACTAAATAAATTAGCAACGTCCCCTAAAAAAAGAAGAAGAAGAAGAGAACAATCGAACTCAGGGCAAGTGATGTGGTACCGATATACAAATGGGCCCTAAACACGTACAATTCCACACGGGCTCTTTGAGCCCGAGCACTCAGCCCAGCATCAAACATCCATCACGGCCTGGCCAAGAAAGTTAGGGTTTCCATCCACCTCCACGCTGCTGCACACATATAAGCATGCGACGAAACCCCATCGTCCATTCTTCCCTGCCGCCGCCTCCTCCCTTCTTCAGCCGAAGCGCCCGCACGCCTCGACCCAAGGGATCTCAATGGCGCCGACCTCCAAGATGGCGCTGGGCATCAAGCGCGCGTCGCGGTCGCACACCTACCACCGCCGCGGGCTGTGGGCCATCAAGGCCAAGCACGGCGGAGCCTTCCCCAAGGCCGAGAAGCCAGCCGCCGTCGCCGAGCCCAAGTTCTACCCCGCCGACGACGTCAAGCCCCGCACCGCCAGCACCCGCAAGCCTAAGCCCACCAAGCTCAGGTTCGTCGCACTACCGCCTCGCAGCTCTCTCTGTCCTCCGGGGACTTTAGGTTGAGATTGATTTGGCTGTTGCAGGTCGACCATCACGCCCGGTACGGTGCTGATCCTGCTCGCTGGGAGGTACATGGGGAAGCGCGTGGTGTTCCTCAAGCAGCTCAAGTCTGGCCTGCTCCTCATCTCTGGTAAATCTCGTTGGCTCCTGCGCTATGATACTGAGATGCACCCAGTCCTTATAACTCAATAGCGTAGGTCTTCACATTGTTGGTTTGTGGATTTAGTTATTGGCTGCTTACTCGAAGTAGCTATTCATGGGTTGATGCATGATGGAAGCATTAAGCTGTGTAGGTTCTCGCTCGTTTGGTTGTCTGGTTCCAGCCTGTTCGTTGCGCAAATCAGACTTGGACTAACTACCATTTGGGTTCGCTGTTTAGTAATAGTATTTTTTTTCTAAACACTGGCGGTGCATTTGGTGTGTCTTAAATGCGTAGAATTTTGACTTGGGAACTACACTAAAATGCCATCGAGTGCTTTTTTTAGTGACATGTTTTTATCTGTTAGCATCTGTTGGTGTCATTGTTAGTGGTTCCCATTGGATGTTTGGAACAACAAACTTTTAAAATGAATTCGAGGCAGGCATCTGGTTCTCTATTCAACATTGAATTGATTAGTCTATGAGAATTCCCTCCTTGCATGTTTGGCTACACCAGTTAATCTGTGAAACCTGGGAATTTAGTATGCCTAATGCTTCTAACTGCAACCAAATATGCGGTTGGGCTAATTGCTTATGTCGTGGTCTTGTAAGTTAGTATGCATATTTTAACGCTGATGTTTCTCTTCAGGGCCTTTCAAGATCAATGGTGTGCCAGTTCGCCGGGTGAACCAGGCTTATGTCATTGCCACATCCACAAAGGTTGACATCTCTGGTGTTAACGTGGAGAAGTTTGATGACAAGTACTTCGCCAGGGACAAGAAGACCAGGGCAAAGAAGACTGAAGGGGAGCTGTTTGAGACTGAGAAGGAGGTACATCCCTGAACCATTGGACGATCAGCTTATGTTTATGTCATTCTTTGCTCCACAACTTAGTTCTGTCTCTTGTCTGTTAAACCTGCAGACCACCAAGAATCTGCCAGAATTTAAAAAAGATGATCAGAAGGCCATCGATGCTGAGTTGATCAAAGCTATTGAGGCTGTCCCTGACCTTAAGAACTATCTTGGTGCTCGGTTCTCTCTCAGGGATGGTGACAAGCCCCATGAGATGACCTTCTAAGTTGCTACAAGTTCCTGAGTTTTGGATGTGTTTTGCCTAGATTGTTGCTGAAATTTGTACCCTGTTAGTTGACTTCCTATGTCAGTTGAAGTGACCGTAAGATATTATGAGAAGATCAAGAGAATCCTTATCTGCTTTGGTGGTTCTTTTTTTACTTATGCTTAATGGAACAGTTTGTCGTGTGTTATTTGTGATGCTATTTGTTTTCATTTTCATTCCTTCTGCTGATGTTTCTACTGGTTATCATGTTGTGATTTAGGTCAATATAGTGTTGATGTTTAGCGTGCTGGTTGTTCTGGGATTTCAGCCATTTGTCTTTAGTGTTACTCCGTCCGTTCCTAAATATAAGACCTTTTAGAGATTTCAATACTGACTACATATGGAGCAAAATGATTGAATCTATACTGCACATCTGTATGTAGCTCATATTGAAATCTCTAAAAGGGTATTTAGGCACCTGTGAATTTCGTTGTAGCAAAAGACAACCGATTACTATTCTGACGTAGAAAAACTCCAAAGAGGGCACAGGCCTTGCATTGGAGAGGCACCCTCGCCGAAGGTCGTTGATGTCGAGTTGGCGGCGCTCGATGGCGCTGTGTCTCCGGACGGATGTGTGAGGCATCAAGAAGCTCTGACACGGCAGCGACGTCCGTGCACTAATTTGAGCCAGCCAGCGCTGTTCCGTGAACCCTGCCACTACGAGTGGCGTGATGTCGACGGCCATCTCCTCGTCGATCTCAGCCATGCCATGGCCCTCCTCCCTCATCTCCTCCTTCGAGCTCCACTTTGGAGGGCTCGAAGGTTAGCTCGTCTTAATCCGGGCCTGGTGATGGACGCAAATGCGAGCTAGGGATTTTCGAACGACAGATGGCTGCTTGGACAGTGGGAGCAGTGGCTTAGAGGTAAGGTTTTGGGGTGTTGGCGGCCTACTTTAGTCAAGGCGGGCGGAGCGGCGAATATGTGAAGGGCAGCACTTTGCGTCGGCGCACCGGCTGAAAGTACTTTCAGCCGGTTGGCTAGCAGCCGTCCGATCTAAGCGAGGTGGGCCCGTCAGATCTGTTCCTTCTCCTTCCTCCCGCACGGGTCAAAACCCCCCGTTTCTCTCTCTTTCTCCCGCAGCGAGCACGCCCGCGTCCTCTCGGCACCCCGCGCCCTCATCCCTGCTCGCCGTGGTGGCCATAAAAGCACCCCGCGGGCGTCAGTTCCGGCCAAAAAACGAGGTGCATCTGCAGCACATCCGGCACTGGGTTGTAGCCCCCGCGTGGTCGCCGCCATGCCTCGCCGATCGAGGTTGCAGCTCGCCGGCGACCGGTTGCAGCATCCGCCCCTGCCCCCGTGCTGGATCTCGCCGCCGGAATTCACAGAAACCCACCACCGGCATCTCGCCGTCATGAAAAAAATGGATGTAGCAAAAACTATGGCGGTAGTAGCAAAAATCCACATGGTTGAAGCAAAAATGTCACACGGTCGTAGCAAAAGAAAATGCCAGTTCCAACACAAAAACAATGTAGCATATCCAACATGCCCACACCCGGCACCGCTCGTGCCTTTCCCCCTTGCCAGTCGCCGGTTGAAGCTTTTCACGTCAATGGTTGCAACTTTTTTGTTCTGTACTCGCGGGTTGAAGCGTCCTATAAAGCAAGTTGAAGCTTTTTATAAAACCGGTTGAAGCTTTTCAATTCAACGGTTGAAGCTTTCTCAAAAAATGACGGGCGTGGATTTTTTATTTCATAGTGGTCCGATGAACTTCCCTATTCCGTCGTTTGCAGCTTTTCATACTATGGTTGAAGCTTTTCGTATGAACGGTTGTAGCTTTTTTCAGTGCATGGTGTCCAGTTGAAGCTTGATATATCGCTAGTTGAAGCTCTCGAATTGAACGGTTGTAGCTTTTTTGGTCATCGGTTGCAACATCGGTGGAGGAGAAAAAAAATGCTTCCAAAGTTCGTCTTGAAGCTGATGGTTGCAGCGTTGGGGGAGGAGGTCGCGCACTCGCGCTGCCGTGGTTGAAGCATCTCCGATGGACGGTTCCAGCACATGGGAGTACAAACAACAGCTCGCAGATGGTATATTCCATGGCGGCTTCCAACTCTGGCTCGCCGGGTGCGGAAGGAACCTGCAGCCGGGGGGAGGGAGGGCGAGGGTGGCGAGCGGGAAAAGAATGGGATCTGAAGGACAGAGGTGACCTACGCGGAGTTAGGGCTAGCCGACGGCGGGATCTGAAGGAGAAAGAAGGGGATCGGCGTACGATGCGCTTCGCCTCGCTTCGATCTGCGCGAAGTTAGGAGGAGCGCGAGGCGTACGATGCGCTTCGCCTCGCTTCGATCGAGTGGCCCGCGCGGGACCGCGGAATGGTTCGGCCGGTGCGCCGTTCCTAAACACTTTCCATATGTGAATGCGGACAGCCAAAGTGGTTTGTCACCACGCCGGTGTTTTTTAATATGGGTAGGCGATCATGTCCGCTGCAAATGCACGTAGAGTTCTAGAGACAAACGACCGGAGAGTGGTTTTGGAGTTGGGCCGGTTGTCGAAGTCCGACGTGGCAGATGCCTGGACTCCCCTCAGATCTCCCCCTCAATTTGGGATTAGGCTGCGGGATTCCATACGCCAGGACTAGTCTGGCCCTTTTTCTTAGAAAATAGTCTGGCCTAATTTGGTGATCTACGTTGAACTTGAAGGGCTTAGAAGTATTTGGATCGTTCGGTCTGGACATTTACAACTGTTTTGGTGATCCGCGTTGGAGATGCTCTTAGCAAGAGAATGAACAATCAAATACGAAGTTCTAGGGGTGTGAATGACTTTAGGGCGCAATAAAGTTGACGAAGTCAAGAAGAAGTGGAGTATATCTCTTGTTGACGAGGTATACAAGAAGCTCTAATGACCAGTGAAAGCACAAGTGCTCCCTAGGTGGTTTTGATAATTGATGACAACATATCTCTTGTTGGACTAACATTTCTCTCTAGCATGTTTCAGGTAAGTTCAACAATGGAGTGGCATGGACTAAAGGTTGTGGGAACTCCTTCAAGATGCTAAGGACAAAGGATTGGCTAAAGCTTCAAGCTCAAGACTCTTCATTTTATATTTTAGTGATCCAAGATCACATTGAGTCCATAGGAAAAGCCAATACTATTAAGGAGGGATGAGGTGTTGCTTAATGAGCCTCTTGCTTTATGTGCTTAGTGATATGCTCCAAAACCCTCAACTACTTTCCCATATCCACATATGACCTAAACTCTAAGCCAAACTCGGTCCTACCGATTCTTCCTATCCGGCGCCACCGAGTTTCACTTGTCATTAGCCACTGCCAAACCCTAGCAATTTGGTTCTACCGATAAGGATCTCGGTCTCACCGAGATGGGATTGCAAACTCTCTGTTACCTATTGCAATATTCTCGGTCCCACCGAGATATGCAATCGGTCCCACCGAGATTGCAATGTAAACTCAGTGTTTCTCCTTTGTAACTTTTCGATCTCACCGAGTTCCACTCGGTCTCACCGAAAGAGCAAATCGGTCCCACCGAGTTTGCCTGACCAACTCTCTGGTTAGCTAATTACCAAATTCGGTCTCACCGAGTTTGTGTAATCGGTCTCACCGAGATTACGTTATGCCCAAACCCTAACCGAATCGGTCCTACCGAGTTGCATGTCAGTCCCACCGAAATTCCTAACGGTCACTAGGTTTACTATTTCGGTCAGACCGAGTTTTCTGATTCGGTCCCACCGAGATTGGTAAATTGTGTGTAACGGTTGGATTTTGTGTGGAGGCTATATATACCCCTCCACCTCTTTCTCGTTTAGTGAGAGAGCCATCAGAACACACACACCATTCCAACTCATATGTTCTGAGAGAGAACCACCTACTCATGTGTTGAGACCAAGACATTCCATTCCTACCATATGAATCTTGATCTCTAGCCTTCCCAAGTTGCTTTCCACTCAAAATCTTCTTTCCACCAAATCCAAATCCTATGAGAGAGAGTTGAGTGTTGGAGAGACTATCATTTGAAGCACAAGAGCAAGGAGTTCATTACCTACACACCATTTGTTACTTCTTGGAGAGTGGTGTCTCCTAGATTGGCTAGGTGTCACTTGGGATCCTCCGACAAGATTGTGGAGTTGAACCAAGGAGTTTGTAAGGGCAAGGAGATCGCCTACTTCGTGAAGATCTACCACTAGTGAGGCAAGTCCTTCGTGGGCGATGGCCATGGTGGGATAGACAAGGTTGCTTCTTCGTGGACCCTTCGTGGGTGGAGCCCTTCGTGGACTCGTGCAACCGTTGCCCTTGGGTGGAGCCCTGTGTGGACTCGCGCAACCATTACCCTTCGTGGGTTGAAGTCTCCATCAACGTGGATGTAGGATAGCACCACCTATCCGAACCACGGGAAAAACATCCGTGTCTCCAATTGCGTTTGATCTCTCCAAACCCTTCCCTTTACATTCTTGCAAGTTGCATGATTTACATTCCGCTGCTCATACACTCTTTGCATGCTTGCTTGATATGTATTGCATGTGCTGAAATTGTGAATAAACCCCACTTAAACCGAAAAAGCTTAAAGATTGCAACTTTAGCACTAAGTGTCTAATCACCCCCCCTCTAGACACATCTACTTCTAGATCCTACAACCAGATTAGACAGAATGTTCTTGGCCTCAAGAATAGTTTCATGTGTCTCGCAAACTGTGAGGAAATTGATTTCACTACATCCATGCTCTCTGTCAAAAGTAATTCAAGAGCTTCAACCTGCAAAATAGAGTTCACAAAGACTGAGTGATCTGAGGTTGGATTAAAAACACACACACTCCAACAACTCCACTAAAAAAAGACACACCCGCGAGCAAACCGAGGATGCACGTTTGTCATAGTAAGACATTTTTTTGTCATTCATGTACATTCATAACGTTCTTTAAAAAGAAACAAGTTAGTCATACATGTGATGGACGAGCACTTGGAGTTCTCGGGTACCCGCACACCCTATATGTGCCAAAAAATTAATGATTCAAAAA